TGTTGTAATCCTGACCATTTCCAAATCCAAGACCAATTCATGCTTTGCTCATTTGTACATATTCCTTGATCTTCATGATAAGCAGTTGAGACAGAGAAGTTGCCATTAGAGGTGAGATTCCAAAAGCAAGTATCCGTGGTAGCAGCTGCACTTGGAGGAGAGGTGGCACCGATTTACAAGTTGATTGCTGGAGGAAGAAGGAGATGGTAGAATTTGTCCCATGCCCATTGCCCCGAGGTCGTGATGAAGTCAGCGATGGTTTTGTGCAAGTCAAAGTCAGGAACATCAACAAATGAGAGGAATTTAAGTGGCCCCATATCTCCCTCCCAATTATCTTCCCAGAAACAAATGGTGTGTCCATTCCCTGAGTTTCCATGCAACATTCAATTCAGTTTGCGGCCAGACTTTTGCTATGCTACGCCAAGTGTGCGAGGCAGTCTTGGTTTTGAACTCAGTTAGTACCGGGTCCCCATTTATATTTGGCTTTAAAGACTTGGACCCAGAGTTGGTAAGCCTTGCTAATAAGATTGAAAGCAAGCTTAGCCAAGAAAGTGTTGTTCTGCCCTTGTAGATTTCGGATCCCGGTACCTTCATATTTTAGAGGTGTGCACTTGTCCTTCCACTTTACTAAACTCAGCTTTTTTCTGGATTCACTGGTAGAGCCCCAAATGAATTTGCGAATTGTTTTCTCAATGGTCTATCGGCATGATGCTAGAATAAGAGATGTTTGCATGGCATAGTAAGGTATAGTGCTCAAAATAGTCTTTGCTAATGTAAGCCGTCCAGCCAAAGAAAGAGACTTAGCTTTCCAATTGGTTAACTTTAGTTGTACCTTGTCAAAAAGGTAGAGATAAGTGTCTTTTGACATTCCTGAATGCAAAAGTGGCACTCTAGGGTACTTGCCCAAGTGTGAGGTCTTCTGAAATTGAAGGGTATGACAGAACGCTTCAGCTTGCCCTCTTCCTACATTCCGAGAGAAATGTATTCTGGTTTTGTTATGACTACCAACTTGGCCGGAAGCAGTGCAAAAATTTGAGAGGATTGATTGTATCAGTTGAATTTGGCCCGGTAAGGTGCTACTAAAAAGAATGAGATCATCTGCGAAAAAAAAGTGAGAGAAGGGGGGACCACCTCTGCCAAGTTTGATGGTTTCTCATTTCTTCTCTTGAACTGCTTTGTGAATTGTCTGTGAAAGCCTTTGTATGCAGAGAACAAAGATTTTCCTATAATACACTAACTATTTTTATTTTTTATAATTTTAATTTTAATGTCTCTCTTAGGATTATCACGTTATATACATATATTATAAATATATCTTATTTAACAAAATTTGTGTCTTTTTTAATCATTTTAATTTTTTTTAGTCATTTTAATTTGTCAAACTGACTTGTTTATACACGTTAATTTAAACATAAATTATATTATACCAACTCATTTTTATCCTAATTTAAATTTATAAAAATTAGTTTTGTCAGACATCCATATCAAACAACAAATTCATAATCATTTTTCACGTGAGCTTTACCAATGAATCGCTTTTTACTTCTTCAATTCGTTTTGTCGTTTTCGTCGCTTTTTTTAATATATCCTCGTTCAGATCTATTAACTGTGCTATAGTGGTTTTTTTTTTTTGGAATCTTTCTTCATTTTAAAATTGGACTATCTCTAAAGTTTAAAAGGTCGTTTCCTTTTGTGAGGAGAAAAGACGATTGTCCTATGCTTCTCGGTGTTGCTGACATGGTTATGTTTTTGTCTTTTTGTGTTTTGAGAAAAAAAAATTTTAATCCTATTTATAAATCAACTTATTAAATTTTTAATATAAATATACTATTTTATCTTTTATTTATTATAGTATAGATAATTATTTTTTAAAAAATATATATTAGACATGGATAATATTAAAAAGTTATTATATTTTAAAAAATATTTAATGCGGTTTAATTTTTTTAAATTTTTGTAAAATATGTTGAGAGTATCATATAAATAGGATCAAAGGAATATACTACTCCGGTTCTAAATTACACTATAAAATGAGTCTTGTATTTAAGACCGGAGGAGTACTTAAAAGGTTGGATCAAGGTGAGTGCAAAGTTCGACTATGAGGGACCACTTCGTTCTGCATGTGCAGGATGGGCTGCTTATTGAGTCCACTCTAGAAGCTGAACTGGAAAACCGAAACCAGTCAATGGCGGCAGCATCTTCTTCTGTGAAGGACGCAGAAGTTGATGTTTCTATACTGAACATGGATCTGGAAGAAGAGATGAGATCTCAGGGGAAATTAGTACAGTGCGGGATAAGCCGTGATGAGGATGAAGTTTAATTAAAAAAAAAAAAATGGTGCATGAAACGGTGATCATAATTCATGGCATTAGAAGCCTTGCATGCAGATGTGAATGCTTTTCAATTACTTTAGGGGTTACATTCCTAATAGCGAGATTCACTTCCCAAAAATGATGATAATATCCTTGCCATCAACTTTCAAGTTAATCGTAACAAAGTAATATACTCTTCCAGTTCTAAAAATAATCCTAAATATAAGAACCACTTAGGACCCGTTTGGTTTAACCCTATTACAGGTGTGTAATGGTAATCTTTATTACATTACTATAAATAACTTGTTTGGTTGGTCTTATTGATGGTAATCAAGATTGCATTAGTAAAGAAGATTGCACATTTTTTGGTAATATCTATTCATAGGGGGATCTCTATGAATACTTATTGCATGTATGTAATTCTTTATAAAATGACAATTTTACCCTTAATAACCTAGATGAAAAGACAACATTTACCCTCAATAAGTATTATCAACCATCATTATTGGCCACACGTCTTCCTTCCTTACCTCCCCTTCATCCATCAGTGGTCTTCTTTGTTGAGTAGACATGCTATTTATTGTTTATCAAAACGCATATACTGGAGTATTCTTCCCTGCTACTTCATTGTGGGTTTCCCATCATCATGTTCGTCTAGTTTTAAATCATGGTTTGATTTCATGAATTCGCTTATTCGCTCAATGATCTAGGTTTGTGGTTTTAAATTTGACTCAGCATATTTTCTTAGGATTATTATTTGATTGGATCAAGCGCTCAATGGATTTAATTCCAAGTGAAAAACGCAACTGTCGTGGGTCAAATGGAAAACTGGTTATAGATGATGCTAATGGCGTAGGCAGAGGAACTCTTGAAGGTTTACAGGAATAGTTAAATGGTTGGTCTCTTGAAATCTACAATCATGGTGATTGGTGGAGATCGAGGCATACTAAATGGATAAGGGGAAAAGTTTCCTTTGGTGGCATTTTGCTCATTTCACATATATTTACATTTAAGTTAATTGAAAAATTAATTTTTTTCCCATCCCTTTAATACGATGCCAAACAAAAACACGGTGATCAAGATTGCATGCGTTATATATTGCATTACAATGCAATGCATTCCTAATGCATGTGTAATGGAACCAAACAGGCCCTTAGTAAATTAGATCAATTGAGTAATATAATATTCTTTCAATTTTTAATATAAGACTTAATTAGTTAAGGGTTAATACAAATTTTGGTCCCTCAAATTTAGGCCCAATTTGGTATTGGTTCCTGAAATTTAAAACGTGTAGTATTGGTCCCTCAAATTATGTCCGTTTCAGACCGTTAGTCCCTAGCATCTTGGCACCGTTAAATTTTGCTGACGTGGTGTTAACACCGTTAACCGATGAGTTGGCATATAGGTGGCATATGACTTGGACATGGTATTGGTCCCTCAAATTTGAGGCCATTTTGGTATTGGTCCCTGAAATTTAAAATAGATGGTATTGGTCCCTCAAATTATATCTGTTTATGGCCGTTGGTTCGTGATAGCTTTACGCTGTCAAATTTGTCTGAGTTGGCTCTAACTTTGTTAACCTATGATATGGCATTTGACTTGGCAACTAAAACTTGATGATGTGGCATGAGCAATGGAAGGCTATGGTCGAAGAGAATCTATGCAATCTAGGATTCACTTTTGTCAAAACACAAAGCTTCTGCTCCTATATTAGTGTGGAGGAAACGCAGTGCATTCTCAGCTAAACCTTCTACCTCCTCTATTACCTTTGGCCAAAAAGGTGACTTAACAGTTCATGAGAAGAAGAAGCCGGCTTCAGATACAAAACCACTCCCATTGAAGCCATCTTCTTCTAGTACAAACGATGATGAACCTCCCAAGAAAAAAGAGAAGCTCATTACCAGAGTAAGAAGCTTAAGAAGAAGCAACAAGAACCTCACCAACAACTCCAACAAAAAGGCAAGCACGACCAGTAAGCCACCAGAGCCGCTGAGACCAAATAACAGCAAAGCAGAGGGTTCTACAGGAACAGATAAAAAGAGGAGGGCCTAAAGCTATCAAGGACCAAAGGCCAGAAACAGATATAATTTGAGAGACAAATACCATCAGTTTTAAATTTCAGGGACCAACACCAAAATGGCCCCAAATTTGAGAGATCAATATCATGTCTAGGTCATATACCAACTCATCAGTTTAACGATGTTAACGCCACGTCAACAAAATTTAACGGTACTAAGATGCCAGGGACCCACGATCTGAAACAGATATAATTTCGGAGACCAATACCATACGTTTTAAATTTCAGAGACCAATACCAAATTGGACCCAAATTTGAGGGACGAAAATTTGTATTAACCTATTAGTTAATTTGAGTAAGTTAAAAACATTAAATAAATTAGTTAATATGATATATATTTTTCTTCTAAAAACACCCTAAACAAATTAGTTAATATATGTTTTTTTTAAAACACTTCAAACATCTTCCTTAATTTTTTCGCTCTCTCTCTTCCTCCCCCCCCCACTTGATTGTTGTTGGAAGAACAAAGTTGATTTGAAAAAAAAATTAATAAGTATATAAAATATATCTTATGTAAAAGACCAATATTAATTCCCTAATTATCTCCTATATTAAGAACCGCAAGAGTAATAAATTACAAGAAAAGAAGGAAGGAATATGAGCAATACCAATGACAAGAAGGCTGATATTAATTCATTCGAGTGTCAGGTATAAAAATGAACCATCAAGAATGTAAACCCCTCCTCTTAACTTATGCAAGTTGCTTTTGATCATGAAAGGGAAATCAGAAACTAATCTTCACAAAAATTTCACACCTTGATACTCCTTTCATCCCAAATTTTTCCAAGTTGAACTAGAAGTGACCATTGCCCAAATAAAGCTAGTGAAAATAAGATCCATGATCAATAATAATCTAGTCGAAATGTAAGCAGCTAAGAATCATATTCTGTACATCTCAAAAAGGAACTTGGCCATTCTCTTGGGAGCAAGTGACCATAATTTGGGTTGAACAAAACCGATATTCGCCTTGTCTGTATTCCTCTGTATTCTTCTCAGCTAATTCTACTTCTATTTCCCCTTTGGCTTGAAACATGAAAACATTAAAAGAGAAACTCAAATCATCTCCTAAATTGCCACTGACATGGTTCTGGAACATCCATGATTAAGTGGTTTCGTATAGTATCAAAGCTTTCATAACCAGTAAGTCATGAATTTGATCCCTAGAAGCCTACTCTCAATCAAAATTATGAAAATATATTAACCCCCCTGATTGTAATACATCAATGTTAAAATACTGTGACTTGAGGAAGTTTGAAAGAATTCATTACCCTCCTAATCATCATATGTTCTTTAAAGAGTGTAGTTGGTGAAAATACTTCCGACTCTTTTGTTGGGAACGCCAGTAGCATGCAAGTGCTCCAAAACCACAGCTAGCAATAGCAATTGCCAATGCAGCTCCCACAGGCACCACAAGTGCATTACTTGATGCTATTAAATCTTCAACAGCCCCTTCGGTTCCGTCATTTCCAGCTATGCCCTTGTTCTTATATAGAGATGCAAGCTTTTCTCCATAGTATTGAGTCAAAAGCTTGTAGACCTCGTCCTTGTTCCATTCAATTCTGTTGGTCCTCCGGCCAAGGTCTTGGTAACAAGTAGGACAGAGCTTCTTTGGAGGCCATACCATCTTTGGAAATTTTGGATCACCTGTTCCCAGAGATGCCTCTTCTTTCATCAACCTTTCATTAACCATATTATGAGCACTCCACAACCAGAGAGCAAAGTCACGAGCTTTGTTGATTGGACTAGCACTGAAAATTAAGCATTGTCCAAGATAAAGGAAATTCATGAGTTTAAATTATGACACAGAAACGTAGTCTCAATTCAATTTACCTTAAACACATCTTGTAAAAATGCTGTCGACATTCCTCACAGATGAAAAAGTTGTGAACAAAATCACATGTAGCATTAAATGTAAACTGACTTTCTCCATCCTCGATTCTCACTGAAAGCGAATGCAGGAGAACCCATAAGCCGCAGCTGAGAAAGAGAACACAAGAATGATAAGACAAGGCATCCCATTCAAAGATGTTGTGATATGCTTTGTCATGCTCTGCAGAGTCCAAGATTGAAGAGCAGGGTGAAGCCGCCCGATACATATTATTTTGAAACACGCATAATAGTATCATCACCACAACTACTAAAATCCTTAGTACAAACACATCAGCTAGCTTCCCTATAGAGTAGTCATCAACAAACAAAGTAGACAGGCAAAGAGCTTCTCCACCCTGATATGTAGCCCCAAGGCCTTTCCCAACAAAGGTTAGAAAGAAAAAAGAATGAGATGACTGCGGTGTACCGCCTAATTCATTCAAAAAGGATTAAGCTTGATCAGAAAAAAGAAGAATTTATTTTGAGAAAAATACATATACTACTATTCATAGTCATTTGCACTCCACTTCTTTTTCTACAAAATAACACCACTATTTACTTTTAAACTGACGGGAGCATGCCATGTGGCAAAGGATATATGTAATTCGGCATCCTGTTAACAAGGGATGGACGTCACCCAGAAAAAGGAGGGGAAAGGGGCGGGCAAAAGGTTCTCGAAGGCTGAGAGGCTTAAAGTTGAAATGCCTATATTTAAATTATTCTTCCTTTTTTTTTTATTATATTCCATATAAATAAATGCATTTAATAGCAAAGTTAGTTTCACTCACAGTTTATCATCCACTCACAAGTGATGACAACAGATTATATAGATAAATATTTGCAATTTTTGAATATAAATAAATCAGCTGTGAAAATAAAATCTGAACACACACACACACACTATCATGTTTTGTATCACCCCTTGGGTATGGACGCAGTAATGTCAGAGGTAGTGAAACTTAAGGTCATGTTTCTTTCAACAAACCATTTACCAAAAGGTCCTGTTCAATCAGAAGAGTACAGCTACTGTACAAAATTCCAGCTTACTTTTGGATGAAAACAAGGATAGTTAAATATCCTGACTCAATATGGAAGCCAAAACATAAATATGAGTATACATGGCAAAGCAGTACCTAAAGCCCCTCGTATCATTCTTGCTGCCGCGGCAGAACATCTACAGAAGAACAATCAAAGTAAACCAAAGATCAGGAACGTCCTCAGTCTGAAGACAATCAAACTTCAATTTACAAGCACAAAATCATTAAAAAAATATAAATAAAAATTAAAATGAGTTATAGAAGGGGGCAAGCAACAGCGAAAATAAAAACTGACTAAATAAGATCCAAGGTCCTCTGGGGCTTAATAAGCAAGATTTCGGCAAATCTTGCAATGTTAACAAAAACAAGAGCAGCAATTTCACATATCAGACAGCATAACCAACAGCATTCTACCCATAGGCATATGTTGTAATCCAGACAATAGTACGTCACCAACGCATAATGTAAACATAAAATAAGTAAAACAATAAATCAACTCAAACAATTTAACTAACAACAATCGTAATAATCAAGGGTAATCTCTTAAGACTGATAATAAGAATATTCATCAGCAAACCTTAAGGAAAAAAATGCAAATATCAAAGGAATCTCAAGTACAAAATCTCAGCAATATGGTAATATCAGATAATACACCAGTTGTTCAAACACTTCTATCGACGATAATACTCCTGCATGTATAGTATGATAAACAAAGAGTATAAATATAAATATAAATTATAAATAATTTTCTCTTCTCATCCAGCCCAAGCTAACAAGTTATACTTCCAATGAATTAGACTTGTTAAAATGAATATGACGGCATTAGGCCACACAAAATTTAAATAAAACATACAGGCTCATTTCACCCAAAGACAAAAATACACCCTTACAGCCCTTACAGCGCCACACAATTAACAAAAATCCAATACTTCACCAACGAACAGAACAGAAGAAAAACTATTAATCCTACCCAGTACCCACGAGGCACATCTTTTCCACAAATCTGAAAGTTCCTTGACACAACATTTCCACTGTCATCTTCCTGACTATGAGCTGACTGCAAATCCGCTGGGTAGAAGTCATCAAAGTTCACAAGTAATTCAGCAGCACCTTTCCGACATCTGAAATAAATGAGTCAGCATAGAAGAAAGAAAATTCATGCTGAAACTGGAGATGCAGAGGATGATAAAAGGTGGTCTGTCATACCTCCTGGAAGGATGATGAGCCACTAAAAGCTGAAGAAATTTTATGAGTGTAGCTCGGGTTTCGGGCTTTATCATCTGCATACCAGAGAGTATGGGCTCTACCATCCACGTACAAAAACAAAACAAATAACCAATTAAGAAGAAAGTCATAGGGAAACCATCACCTTGTGCTCTGAGATGATGTCAAAAGCTATGGCAGTTGCCTCTTCAACATCATAGACAGCTCTGGCAATCTTTCATCATACATAGCATACACGTAAATACTTTAAACAAAATAAAAAGGAAATTAGAATTAAACTAAATCTAAACAAATTTATGTCTGAATTGTCAAAGGACCTGTTCAGGGTCTGACACATTGGATGAAAGATTCTCATTTTCAAATTTCTGATCATCCAAGCCAAATGAACTGCAACATTAAGAAGAATATTGAAAGTTATAGAGAAGAAAGTTAGTACAGATCAATTTCACATCATTTTTCAGAAAAATATGTGGCACTAAATGTTTGTCCCATCAGATGCACTATGAAAAGTACCGCAAACTTGTAGCCTCTTGAACTAATTTAGTTTAATTTTATACCTCTTAGTTCACAGGCCTTGAATTCTTTCTGACTAATTTTTATCCTACAGCCCATGTCATTGCATACCCTAATTAAAAACAAAATTATAAAAAAAAAAAAAAAAAAGTCAGAAGCCTCTCTGGTGCATCATTAATTATTCAATGACTTAAGAGGCCCTAAATGTTGGTGATGGCTACGTTTTGCTAAAAATATATTAGTAAACAGCAGTCAGTTGACACCAATTAGATGGCTTTCCCTATATGTTGAGATTTCTTATGTGGTGATTAATTCTAGTCAAATAGGCTCCTTGCCACAGTTAAGAGGTTAATAGTAAACGAGGAAATTTTAGAATATTTATAGTATAAGCCTCTGGTAGGCATGGTAACAGATTTACATTAGCAATAATGCATGTATACCTCATACCTGCCCATTTGCTTGTTGATCCAATTAAGCAGCCTATCAGCTGTGCGCCCGTCATCAATCATCCATATATCAACTTTGTCTTGTTTTGGCTCCCAATGACCAGCAACAAATTTAGAAGGAGGACCCCAAAGAAGCAGAGGATAATGACTAACAGAAAACTTATCACAGAGTTTAGTATTTATCTGTGCTGCCAAAGAAGTGAAAAGGACAAATCACCAAGGCATGTTTTGCCAGTGTAAAAAATTGAGTTTCAGATGTTTAGAGAAGCAAGAATTTACTTTGGATGAGATTGAATGAGATTTTCAGTGAATAAATCAGAATTGAAGGAGATGAAGCAGTTTATGGGGGAATCTTAGATTTGCTTTACATTTCCCAATATTCTAAAATGAAGACCCAATCATCTCAGGTAGAATTATACAGAATGCAATTACATGTCTCCGTAATCTTAAATCATTAGTTAATAGACTTGAAAATTGCATCTTAAGTCCAGAACATGATTTCTTCATCACATGTTATGAACAATGACCCCTTTCAATTTTCCACGAGTTTTGGATTATCTATTTTTCCCCCTTCCATCAAGCAGTATCAAAAAGCTCGCACTTATGGTGGAGTCTAGCGGAGTCTAAGAGTAAATATCCTTGAAACTTTTACCAATGCTTTCAAATTAAACTATTCAGTTAATCATTAGCAGAAGAAATCCATTCTACCCAGATTTTCGCATGATTTTGCCTCAAAGCACGTAAAACTTTCTTCCACAACTGGAGAAGAAAGTAATAGATAGGTTGTACACATACCTTCAATGCACAGTCTACCCTTGCCATTAATACTATTCCAGGATGCACTGCATCAGGTCCGTTAAAGAGCCTGGCAACCTTTTCATAGTGCGGCTGCAATATTTATTCAGAGAGCAGGTCGTGATGAGTTGAAATAATGGACATAAACTTCATGAAAGATAAACTAGATGTTTCAGCTATTAATACCTTATAATTCCTGCAAGCAGGGCACCTGCCACACATGTAAAGGACATAAGTAAATCCATTTACACAGCAGAAAAGAACTTGCAAACTTAAATTGGATTGCAGAAAAAATTAAGAATATTTTCTCATCAAGCACAATAATTGCTCCCTTTACTACACACGAATGGAGCCAAGCAAACAAACACAATTTAGCAAAGTAAATGTAAAAAACTCTAATATAATCAAGTAGTAGCATGTGATCAGGAACTTACAGTGTACACAAAAATGGAACATGGACAAGGATAAACATAGAGCATGTAAATCACAGCAAATTCAAGAATCATATCATTACAATAGTTATTCCTTTCTTAAGCAACATTGTATCACAGATTAAGGCAATAGTATAAAACGGGCACTCAGAAAAGGCAAAATGGAAGACAGCAACAAGGAGTAGAATAAAGTGAAAAGGATGGATTAAACCAAAAACAAAAAGATCATAAAAGTAGGTCCATGTGTGAGGGGGGAAAAGGAGAAGCGAGCAAAGGGAAATTTAAAGCCATAATTAAAACCCAGTGATCTATGAATCTACAAATAAATTCACCTGTAAGCACATCTAATAGACATAAGACTGTATTCCAATAGCATCTCAGAAGCATGTTGAAAGTATACAAAGTAGTTTAGTATTGAAATGCGAAAACGGTATAAAAATCGGATGGTTTACATGCTTCATCTTTTGTTGGACTAGGTGGTAAAAATTGAATCTGATCGCTCAACAGTAAAATAATCTACAAAGGAGCAGAGGAAGATAACATGAAGTGAATGGTTTAAAGATGGCAACTTTTCCGGAGACACAAGTGATGTTTTCATTTATCTAACCACTTTTTTTCCTCTAATCTTTCACCTTACTGTTAATAACCTCAGTGAAAGAAAGCCAGAAACCCTTAGCCCTTCTTAATATCTTGCCACATGTCCAATGACTTTTACATCAAACTATAAGCTGTGCTAGCCAAAGGACAATAAAAAATGCATTATAATACTTCACCTTGTTCTCATTGCGGCTTCAAAAATACAATTATTTGTCACGTGAATAAATATCTCATTATTTTACTCGCAGATCTATTTTGCCAATCATATGTTCTACCATTCTTCAACTTACCCAAAGAAATAGCACCCGTAGAATTTAGAGCACATCTAAGGTAACATTAAGAAAATTCAATACCCAACAAAAAATTAAAATAATACCAAATATGAAAAAGGCGTAAAATTGAAACTTTGTTTCGCAAATAATCACTAACCAATGGGCAAAGAATTCGACAATGGCAAAAGCAGCCGGCGTATCCTTCAGAACTGCACTGAAAGTCGTTGCGTTCAAATCAACGGCATAATCTCGAGGATCACCATTTTTACTATCATCGTTCACGTCCCGAAGGATCGAACGAGCTGATCCCAATAAGGAAGATGCCGAAGTCACAGTCCCAGAAAGCAGGCTCAAAACCAAAACGAGACATACATACATCCGAGACATGGAAATGATTAACCACGGACCCAGAACACAGGATGGATAAACCTAGGGGCAAACGATCTCCGAGTAATAGGGTTTAGTAGATTGTCAACTGATCAAAATTCGACAGAAAGGAGAAATTTTTCAAAATGCTTTTCTCAAGAGAGAGAAATGGATCTATTACTGTGAGTATTTGTTAGTTATCAACTTTTTGTGTAGCTTTTGAAGCTTTTGTCATAGGAAGGGAAAGCTGAACCAGAAGAGCGTGCGAATTACGTTTCTTCTTCAAGCAAAAGCAGAGGATCCAGTTTGCACCCGGATACCATTAAACCAAACACAGTTGAACTTCGAAATTTCATCCGACGTTACTTCGTTTTTGCCTTTTTTGACCGCTCCTGGACAAATCAATGGATGCGCTTCTTCTCATATTTTTTTAAAGTTAATATAATATTTGATGGCTCAAGTATTTTTCCTCATTTCACTTTTAATTCCTCAAATTCTAGATCACAAATATTTGTGTCTTAAGAATCAAAATGATCCAAATTTTTATTAAATTATATGAAATAATATTTTAAATAAAAAAATTGAGAACCAAAACTTATGAGTTAAAACTTGTGAACCAAAACCAAAATAAAAATAAACTTAAAAGATGAAAATCTAGATTAACATTATTTTTTTCATGGGAAAAAAGGTACAAAAATATTGATGATGAGAACTTATTTTGCTTTTGATGGGCATTAACTAATTTATAAAAATTAAAAATTAAAAAAAAGTCAAACTAATATAAATAATTTGATAAAAAGTTAAAACCAAAATAAATTCTATAATTAAATTTATTTTTAGGTTTTTTCAAGACACAGATATTCTCATATTTAAGTCATTTGGTAATTGGTAATTTTATACTTACGTTTAGGATTGCTATAAAACTTTTGAGCTATTATTCACCAAAAAGTAAAGCTTTTGAACTATTTATTTGAGATCAAAAATGGTTCCTATCACCAAAATAAAAGATCTTTTGGTTCCGTTTTCTTTTTTGCCATCATATCTTTTGGTTCCTGGGTCAGCGGATCGAGGGAAATGGGTTCATAGTCATTTTAAACAACCTTGATTCTGGCCCAAGAGAAACAGCTTTGTGAGTTTTTGGGCCATCAACTATCCACTACTACTAAAAAAAAATAATTTGTGACGGGCCGCGGGACTGTTACTAATTTCAGTAGTTACTTTGGGCCGATTAATTTCTCTTTTTGGAAGATTAGGCTTGAAATAAAATGAATATGGGTACAATCATACCAGCACTAATATACCGGATCCTATCAGAACTTCGCAGTTAAGCATACTTGGACGAAGTAGTACTAGGATAGGTGACCTCCTCAAAAGTCCTCGTGTGAAAAAAAAAAACAACAAGTGTTGGTCCAAGTGAAAGGAACTTGAGCACGTTAAACATCATGTCCTAGGTTCGATTCTTAAGACGATGTGTATGAAAAAAATACTATTGGGAGAAGTCCTCACTCCAGCGCCTGACAATACCCTGAGAGACTAGTCTCTTATCATTCAAGTGGGAGAATACTCTGGGCAATAAAAAAATGAATACAAGCATTTAATGCTTAATAGTATCTTGGACAAAATTGTCTAATAGGAAGATACCTATATCTAACCAAAATTTAATAAATAAATACAGACCATGGCAATTTATTTGCCAGCAGAGTGATATTATTAACATGGGAACGGGATGGCAAATTGGAAATGGGCATTCTGTTCAGTTTTTCAATTAATGAGATATATATGTACACGCACACACTTGGCTCTTTCAAAGAAAAAACAATTAAAGATATGTGTGCTAGATTATACAGTGACTTATTACCTTACTAATAGCTACAGTTTTGTTTATATAAGTCTATTTGGAAATGGAGGGTGCAGAACAAATTAGAGTCTTTTTATGGAAAGCATTTAAGATTTAATGATAAGTTTCCTACTAATGCTTGGCGAATTAAGTAAATGGTCTCAAGCATCGCTAGCATGTTTTTATTGTCATGCTCGGGTTGAAGATGCTCTCCATTACTAAAGCAAAGGTATATACTATTTCGGATTTTTAGTATTAAAACTAGTTGAAAATTCAATTTGATCATAAATATAATATCTCAATTTACTTTATTTCTAATATTTATCCATTTGACTACTCCTAAGTAAATCTTTATAGTAATTGTATATATTAAAGAGTTTTTATCAAATAGTAGTTCTAATAGATATGATTAATGAGAGTATTGTAGAAGTTAAAAGATAATATTTATTTATTATAAATAACTAAAATTAACTAGTTTTCTTAATATTCATAAATTAGTTATATAAATAGCAATGAGATGAATGATAAGTCCCATATCTCTGAAGTCCTGATACCCACAAGATTTAAATATTATTTGGGTACATCCTACTCACGAATTAGCTTTTGGGTTGAACTCAAGAGTCAATGAGATAATATATATATATATATATATATATGCATATTTTCTTTTGAATTTATTTTTGTTGCTTTGCCTTGACCGGATGGAAATGAACTTGACTAATTAATTAAAGAGAATGTTGATGAGCCATATGTCTTCTGTGGTGAGGTAATTAATTAGAGGTCACAGAGGTTGATGGATCGTAGGATTAAGTTCTCCCTTGTTCTTGGTCGTCAAATATAATTCAGTCCTTGTATATGAATGAAGCTGAAGAATGGGCTGTTTCCATTTAGGCTAAGAGCTTGGTTCCCGAATCACGTGTGCAATAATTAATGGGGCAAACGTACGTGTCAATCTCTACTGTATATTTAGGATAGGGGGTACATATGTATATATATGTTTTATCGTAAATTTGAATTGCAAAGTCTAATAATCCACTTTATCTACTTGGCTTCCACCAATTCATCAAACAAAAAGTGTATTATTAGGAGTGGCAAACGTGTCAATCTAGCTACTTGTACACTAAAGTGGATGAGAAAAAGCATATCTATATATAATCTCTAAGTCTACACACACACACCACATATATCGTTCAAACCTCTTACACAATGATTGAGAAAGAACTCTCTTTTTGATGAAGAATATTTCTAACCATGAATCATGATTCATTATTATAAACAAATTAATGAGGATAAGATTTGTTAGTGATGGAGAATAATGCATTGTTTTGTGACACGTGTGGGTGGTGTGCCCCGTAATGAGATTCGCAACGAATCTTAGAGGGACAATTAATGTGGTTTTGATTTATGCCAAGAATTATTCACATCCTTGTGCTTGCTTTTTCAAATATCATATTATTACCCTACTAATTAAGTATTTCTAATTAAAAGTGAATTAAAAAAATAAAGAATTCGGGGTTTTCTGTATATTATATATGAGTTTATGACTCATTTATGTACGAACTGAAACCTAAATGTAAGTACTAAGTAGAAGGATTTGTTTAGATCTTAGATGTAATACCTCAATTCACTCTACTTTTTTTTAAATTTATGTACTTTGTAAATTATTATATTCTTATTAATTACACATATAAAAGGAGTTTTTTTACCGAAAGATTGATAACTTTCATCTTTCAACACAAATAATTGACAGGGATATTTTAGAAAAACCAGCATTCTTTTTTACAAATAATTAAATTAGCTATTAACTATTTTTTAATATTTATTAATAAATTACTTATCTAAGGAAGAATAATATATATGATCATGTTGTTACGGTCTTTTATATGTATGTCTATGATATCTTGAGTTTAATTTGGTCAAAAAAAATTGCTTGCTAGAGATATAAGAGTTATGCAAATCATACTACATATTTATATTATAAATCATTTTAAATTTTGTATAGCAGTTAATAAGGTATATCTAATTTTACAAGTATATGAATTTTTACAAGAATACAAAATTTGGATCTTCAATCTATGACAAGAGTAGTGATGGCATAAGATAAAGTAAAAGAAAATACCACTCTAATCTTATTTGTATAATAAGTCATTTGCATCTCATTGTCATATATCAAAAATACATTAAATTGATAAAAATGTTTACTTCAGTCTCACACTTATTTTTTATTATATTCAATATGGTGAAAAATAAAAAATAAAAACTGGTCATTAATTGTCGTACCAGAGTGGCGCACACACATACGCATATACTCATCTGGTCCTATTTATAAGTTGCTTTTAACATATTTCATACAGATCAAGAAAAACATTAAATTTCATTAACTTTCATTTAAAATTCAACAACTTTTCAATTTATCCCTATTTAATATATATTATATCTCATATAAACAAAATCAACACAATAATAAATAAAGGATAAAATTATACTCCATCCGCTTCAAAATATAAGCTAAACTTTCTTAAGGGATTGGACTTGAAAGAGTATATTATACAAAAAAATTCTTTAAATACCCTATAAATAGAACTAAAAAAAATCTTTTCTTTATAGGACCAGAGGGGTATATCTGTTTGTGTGTGTGTGTGAGATATGGATTAGCTTGTTCGTTAGTGGTCCGAATCATCATGACGTGTTTTGTTTTCCCAAAAAACTGGCAAATCGATAAATGGAAATTTCGATGCCATGGACAGATTGCCAGATAAGGCTCTTTGATGGGGGATGGTAGGCATTATGGATTTCCAAATTAAGAGGTAATAATCGTAAATCTATAGTATATTCCACTTTGGAAAGCTCCCAAGTGAATCAATAAATGACATCTCATATCCCATATTTACCCCCCCCCTGTTTTTTCACTGTAAAAGTGTTTAGTAGTTGGCAATCATGCATATCTTTTTTTAATACGCATTTCAAATGCATTATATTGTCGTAACTATTACACTAGTTTTTTAATTACAATTGAACTAATATTAACTGTATGGGAGTTTCGTGCTTCCTAATAGATTTTATATATTGATGTTAATTAATTTTAATTTAATGATACACGCAATCACATTTTTTTTAAAAAAAAAAACTGATTGAGGAGAACGAACACGCAACTTCTTGTTTTTTCCCCAAACACAGGCCCTCATCTCTCTATATCTTGCTTCATTTTGCATAATCCTCTAATTCTTTGTGTTTTTTCAAGAAAGCCTAACATTTTTACTCTGTTATTTCTCTAACTCACTTTTCATCATCAGCGTTATAGTAACTACATGTTTCAATCTCAAATAACTTGTAATCATAATCTTGGCATCTTCCAAAGTTCTCTTCTTTTTAGTCAAGATTAATTAATCTTCCCAAGTTTTTTTTTTGACAGAATTAATCTTCTTAAGTTTAATTGGGGGCAGCAAAAAAAATTGAAACTTAATTACAATCATATCTCAGCTTCTTGATAAGAT